TTACGACGCCCTCCTAGACTGGAGCTGCAGGGGACATCACCTCTGTTCCCAGACTCCCGCCCATGGGGCAGCGTGCTTTTCCGTGGGCAGCTTCTTCCCCAGGCCCTGGCAGCCTTATGATCTTGGTCCTGGGGTGTGGCTGGGTTGCAGGCTGTTACACCTTAGATGTTGGATTTTAATGAATGCCTTTTCTCCATCAATTGATATGATCATGTAATCTTTTCCCCTTTGTTTTGTTTATATGCTGGATTACATTGATTGTTTTCCTGAAGTTGATCCATCCTAGCATTCTTGGTATGAATCTGACTTAATCATATGATTTATTATTATGTGATGTTTTGTTATCTTCTATTGGCTAGGATTTTGCTGTGAAGTTTTATCTGTGTTTATAATATGGGTTTATAATTTTCTATTTTGGTAATGTCTTTGCCTGGTTTTAGTATCAGGTTACACTCACTTCATAAAATTATTTCAGAAGTTCGCTACCCTTTTCTTTATTATGGAATAGTTTGTTTAGAGTTGGTGTCAACTCTTCTCTGAATACCTGGTAGAATTTCCCAATGAAGTCACTTTGTTGTAAGTTTTTGAATGGCTAGATAAATTTCTTCTTTGATATGAGTCTGTTACGTTTTCTACATCGATTGGTGTTAATTTAGGTAGAAAATGTCATTCTAGAAATTTGTTCATTTTCTAGATTTTCAAACTTGTTGGAATAGTTCTTCATAGTATCCATTTATTATCTTTTAAAAACTTCAGTCAGTTTTCTTGTGATATGCCCTTTAAAAAAATTCTTTCCTTTGCCTTATTCTTATATTTTCTCCTTCTTTTACTCTGTTAAGTTTGCCAGTGGTTTGTCAATTTTGTTGCTCTTTTCAAAAGACCAACATCATGTCTTACTGATTTTTTTTCTATTGTTTTGAAGTTTCCTAATTTATTTACTTATTTACTAATCTTCATCATTTCTTTCTTCTGGTGGCTAGAGTTTTAGTTTGCACTTATATTAGTTATTGAGAATGTTAGTTTGAGGTGTTAAATTTTGGTTTTCTCTCTTTTTTGATGAGTGCATTTATTGCTATAGATTTCCCTCTGAGTTCTGCATTTGCTGTATCTCAAATTTTTGTATTTTTGCTGAATGTCGTATTTTAATTTTCACTTTATGCAAGGAAATTTTAAAAATTTCATTCCTTGTAACAAAGAGGAAGTGTTGAAATCCTGGTGGGGACTTAGCATGATAGTGGGACAGGAGGA